GAGGACAAAATGTTCACTTGCTGCCTAATATATCCCACCCACTGACAGGAGCCATGATAACCAGATAATCAGTGTTATTCACTTCACCTGTCAGTGGTCATAATGTTATGGCTGATCGGTGTAAATTCCGAAGGTATACGTGTAGGACAGTTCTCATTAGCTTTAGCCTCATTAACTCAGAACAGCATATACAGTATGTCTCAGTTAACTAGAAAAATCTAACATCAGTTTAATAGCTGTTCTGGAGCTTTCGGTCAAATCACTCCATCGCAAGATGCAATTTGTTTATTTGCTGTGAACTAAGGTGTTCTGTTCGAACCTCGACTTTTGAGCCAATATGGATCAGAAGTACTTAAAGTAAGTGGGTATCTACTGAGGAAGATCATTTGATGTGATCAAAAGCTCCAGAGCTGCTACTAAATAGATCCGGTGATCACATTGTTTCATTACTGTTTCAAACGTCAAAAATGAACTTTGCTACTGGATGTTGCCTGGATGCTACAGGAGTATAAAGTTGTATGTTTTCAGTGTGATGATCAGAAACTGATAAAGATGCTGGCCATAGTGAGTGTGGAGTGTGGATCTAGTCTTAGTAACAAAAGAATGACAAATGTAACTTTACAATAAAGATAAACAGTGAGAAACTGCTTGTTTTGTATATAAGAAAAATTCTACTATTTAATTGATTCAGAACATCGACCCTGACAGCTGCTGCTTTCAGTCTGTAAGAGTCAACCAGCCGTGGAATCCACTGCTTTGCCGTCATTGCAAACTCTCAGAGGAATCTTTTGCAAATCACCTCAGTGGTGATGCTTCAGTTTGCAACTATTCCTTCAAGCCCATTATTTACAGCATCTGTAAACAATAGTTTCATATTAAGAATGGGTTGCATGGTTACTTGTATGTGAAAGTTGTCACTCATAGTGATTAGCACACAGAACTATCACCCAATTTTGCAGCTCCCCTCTGCTCATTGTATTGGTTTTCCAGACTGCTGCTTAACTTCTTTTAGTTCAGTCTCACTTTTCTCACAGTGTCATTTTCTGCCTCAGCAAGCAGCTTTTTTTTTTAAAGTAAAAGTCCCCAAACCCTCTGTACACTACTTGGCCAGCACTAAGCAGCAGACAGACACAGTTAGCAACTAGCTGGTGACTGTGGTGGAGACAATCTGAAAATTTAGTACCTTAGTAGAGACCACAAACTGAGCCAAATGAGAGTTGTCAAAACACGAAGACCAGTGAATGATAATGGTTCTCCGTAACAACAACTTGCTAGCATGTTCACCATATCAACTTAAAAGGTGATAATATGTCCTAACCACAATAACTACGCTAACCGTGAAACTAAGAAAAATGGCTACAACGTTTTTTGGCTGGCCAGCCAAATTTGTTTAATATAGAACAGAAGTTATGTCCTTAATATGTATCTTAGTAATTATGGGTTAAAAAATCCTAACCAGTTATTTGACCCGTGACCCCCAAAATGCAGGTAATGCACTCTTTGTGTTACCATAAACAGATATATAGGTAGTGCAAAGCCAGAGTGCAGTAACTACAGAACAGTACAGTACTACTTTAG